TTCCATTGCTGATGAGGAACTGTAATCCCCTGTAAAGGGAGAGGCGTTCTGATTTTGGGTATTCTCGGCCTTTTTAGGCTGGTTTCTTCCCTTCGTTATAAATTTATCCATCTGTTGTCTTTGCAATTACTGCCTTTCTAATTAGGTTTCTGAGTGGATGTCAAATTTATTGATTCCCAGTGCCAGAATCTGAGCAACCCACTGTGCCAGCTAAAACAGCGGTGTTAAAACTGATGGTGCTTTTCTGTCCAGGAATCTCCGGTCTGGCTTCCTTCTTGAGTCCGTAATAGGCGACTCTGCCTTCCCGGAGCTCCAAACTTCGGTCAGAAGGGGAACCAGTCCCGTTTACTCTGCACCAAGAGCCGCTGCGCCGGCCACAAGGGTCGCACTGGCGACCCGTGGGGCTCCTCCGCTGGGAATCTTGTGGTCCATGAGCGACAAAAATTCGTCTGAAAGTGTGGCGTCCTCTTATTCTCTGCGCTTTCACTGGGAGCTACAGCCCCGAGCTGTTAGTGATCAGCCATCTTGGCTCTCTCTCCCAGGCTGCTTCTTAATGGGGGCAGGGCTGAAGAGCCATCTTCCTTGAGCTCAGCCCACCTGTGCATAGCTGTCTTCGTTGTGCACAGCCCAGGTATTCACAGCTCTCCTCATCGAGTCCTGCACAGTTATTCACAGTGGCTCTTGTCTAAGTCAGCTAACAGAGAATAGAGTGTTCTCTGTCACTCACATTAGAGTCAGCCCCAATGTTCATAGCAGTCTTCATGGAGTTCAGCCAATTTGTTTACCTCCATGCTAATTGGGGCCAGCCAGTGTGGACTGAAAAGCTCTCCCAAAGCTTTGCAGTGCTCTAATTGAAACGTTAATCTCACCCAGAACCACCCACATACACACCCAAAATAATGTTTGGCCAAATGCCTGCCCTCTGTGGGCCAAATGGACGTGTGAAATTAACCTCAATGGTTAATTGAGGTTAACCATTGAGGTTAATTTCAGGAACCAAGGTTCTGAGGTTCCAGGTCCAGGAGGCTGGCATCCTCCAGCTTCCACTGATGTGTCCTGGGGGTCACTGGGGACAGGCTCTACCTCCTGGCTGCCTTGAGCTGTGACCTTGGTATTTTCCAGACTTTGGACTTGAACCTAAGCACACACTCTATGGGTCTTGAGCCCCCAGCCTTTGTCTGGGATGAACTCCATCAGTTCTCCTGGAGCTCCAGCTGGCCAGCCGCAGATCTGGAGACTTATCCATCTCCAAGGGAGGTCATGCGCTAATGCCTTACTGAGCATCCTTAGTAGAATAAAATCAGTATTGGGGGCTAGGGGGTCAACCTCAAACAACCGCCACATTTACTGACAAGCCTGTAGGTTTTAAAAAATTCATTTCCTAATTTTCATAGAGTAAAACTTACTCTTTTAGCATATAGTTCTCTGGGTTTTGATAAATGCATAAAGTCATGTAGCTACCACTGTTATCAGAATTTGAAACACTTTCATCTCACCCCAAAAAACTCCTTTTGCAGCCTTTTTGTAGCCAAACTATTCTCCTTCCCTGAACCCCCAGCCCCACACCAGGAACCCCTGAACCACTGATCTGTTCTTCCTATAGCTTGGCCTTTTCCAGGTTGAGGCATTGGAATTATACAGAAGGTCACCTTTGAGTCTGGCTTCTTCCATTTAGATCTGTCCATATTTGAGTGTCCACATTTTGAGATCTGTCCATATTGTTGAGTGTATCAATGAGTTTGTTTGTATCATTGCTGAGAAGCATTCTGTCGCAGGGATGTACCAAAGTCTGTTTATCCAGTCCTCAGTTGGAAGACAACTGGGTTTGTTTTTTGTGTTTCTGGTTTTGGATAATTATAAATAAAGCCACTATATACAGGCACATCCAGGTTTTACACGAACATATGTTTCATTTCTCTTGGGTTCCAATCCCCAGGCGTGTGATCGCTAGGTTGTATGGAAAGAGTGTGTGTAACAAGCTGCCAAACTGTTTTCCAAAGTAAGCATAGCATTTTGTATCCCTCCTGGCAATGAATGAGAGTTCACAGATCAGTGGTTCAGGTATTCCTGGTGTGCAGCTAGGGCTTAGGGGCTGGTGGATCGTTTGACTACAAAAAAAAGGTAGCACAAAGGAATTTTTGGGGTGCCATGAAACTGTGTCAAATCCTGCTGACAGTGGTGGCTACAGAGAGAAGTGTCAGTGAAAATGAAAGTGCTTTGAGCATTCTGGCGCGCGGGGCGGTAGAGGGCGGAGTTAGCAGGCGCAGCTAGCGGGTCGGCAGCGGAGCGGAGGTGCAGCTTGGCTTCCCCTGGCACCCCTCCCCCTCGGGCGCCAGCCCCACCCCTCCGCCGGCCCGGCAGACCCCGCCGTACTATCCCCTGCGGCGCGAGCCCGCGGCGGCTCTGGGCGCCCCCCAGCAGACCCCCATCATGGGTAGCCAGAGCTCCAAGGCTCCCCGGGGCTACGTGACCGCCCAGGAGGCAGCAGGCGCTTTCGCCCCGAAGGCCGACGGCCAGGAGAATGTCCACGTGAAAAACAATGGAGACTTATCCCCCAAGGGTGAAGGGGAGTTGCCCCCCGTGAACGGAACAGATGAGGCAGCTGGGGTCACTGGCGATGCCATCGAGCCAGCACCTCCTAGCCAAGGTGCTGAGGCCAAGGGGGAGGTCTCCCCCAAGGAGACCCCCCCAAAAAAGAAGAAATTCTTTCAGGAAGCCTTTCAAATTGAGCGGCCTGTCCTTCAAGAGAAATCGGAAGGAGGGTGGGGGTGATTCTTCTGCCTCCTCACCCACAGAGGAAGAGCAGGAGCAGGGGGAGATCCGTACCTGCAGCGACGAGGGTGAGGGCACTGCCCAGGAAGGGAAGGCTGCTGCCACCCCTGAGAGCCAGGAGCCCCAGGCCAAGGGGGCAGACGCTAATGCAGCCTCAGAAGAGGCAGGGCCCTAGGCTACAGAGCCATCCACTCCCTCAGGGCCGGAGAGTGGCCCTACACCAGCCAGCGCTGAGCAGAATGAGTAGCTAGGTGGGGGCAGGTGGGTGATCTCTAAGCTGCAAAAACTGTGCTGTCCTTGTGAGGTCACTGCCTGGACCTGTTGCCCTGGCTGCCTTCCTGTGCCCAGAAAGGAAGGGGCTATTGCCTCCTCCCAGCCACCTTCCCTTTCCTCCTCTCCCTCCTGTGGATTCTCCCATCAGCCATCTGGTTCTCCTCTTAAGGCCAGTTGAATATGGTCCCTTACAGCTTCCCGAGTTAGGTTAGTGATGTAAAATGCCCCTGTCCCTGGCCCTAACTCCTTCCCTGTCCCCACCCCTGCATAAGGCAATTGTTGGTTTTCTTCCCCAATTCTTTTTTAAGTAGGTTTTGTTTACCCTACTCCCCAAATCCCTGAGCCAGAAGTGGGGTGCTTATATTTCAAAACCTTGAGTGTCCAGCATTCCCCTGTTGTTTTTAGTCTCTTGTGCTGTGCCTAGTGGCACCTGGGCTGGGGAGGACACTGCCCCGTCTAGGTTTTTATAAATGTCTTAACTCAAGTTCAGACGTCCAGCTTGTGAATCAACTGTGTCTCTTTTTTGACTTGGTAAGCAAGTATTAGGCTTTGGGGTGTGGGGAGGTCTGAAATGCGAAACAACTTGTCTTTTTTTCTCCCATTGTTGTAAATAACTTTTAATGGCCAAACCCCAGATTTGTACTTTTTTTTTCCTAACTGCTAAAACCATTCTCTTCCACCTGGTTTTACTGTAACATTTGGAAAAGGAATAAATGTCATCCCTTTAAAAAAAAAAGAAAGTGCTTTGTGAAGAGTGAGGGTGCCTCACAAGGTGCCCAGGCAGGAGGATTCAGAGGAGGTTATTTGGCATTTCTTTTTTTTTTTTTTTTTCTTTTTTTGGAGACCAAGTGCTACTCTGTCTCCCAGTCTGGAGTGAAGCAGCGCCATCCTGGCTCACTGAAACTTCTGCCTCCTAGGCTCAAGCAGTTCTGTCTCAGCCTCCCAAATAGCTGAGATTACAGGTGCACACCAACATGCCCAGCTAATTACAGACAAGGTTTCACCATGTTGGCCATGGCTGGTCTTTAATTCCTGACCTCTGGTGATCTGCCCACCTTGGCCTCCCAAGGTGCTGGGATTACAGGAGTAAGCCACTGAGCCCTGTCCAGAGGGCACATTTCTAAACTCTAAACTCCCATGGGCTCCTAGCCAACCCTTCTGAATTGGGACGGCATGCTTCCATTTCCAGGTGATTTGCTTCTCCAGAGGGGAGACAGGGAAACATCCTCCCACTTGTTTTGCAAATGAGGGCGCAACACTGCCTCTCATGGTTGAGCCAGCCTGGCATTAGATAGTAGGATCAAGAGCAAGGTTCTGCAGCTCATATTTTATTCCTAAGTTCACAAAGTAAAATGAAGTGTGATCATTGGAGCATTCTTGTGCTATGTGACAAGAATGAAGCCAGTGGAAACACCCAAATGTTCAATCAGAATGTCAGAGCTGGCAGGGGCCTTAGCAATTTTGACTTAAGAGATGATAACCTATGACATGCCCAGTCCCCAGGACTCCTTCGGCCTTACTGGGCTGCCCTAGGTGAAATAAGATCAGCTCTTTTAGCACGTGGCCTCCCAGAACACAGGGCAGCATCCCACCAAAGGTAGGATGGATCAGCCTTACCAATCCGTGGTAGCCTCATCCACAGAGACAGACGTGAAGCCACGGTGCTTGCTGCCCCGCAGCCAGAGATCCTGCTTCCTGGTTTACACTCCCCCAGCCTTTGCTTCATTCATTTCAGTGCCCATTTCTGAGGCACCATTGCATTTCAAACATGCTGAGAATATGTTTAATGAGAACTCGGACATACCGCCTTTTAAAATAAAACAGAAGGGACAAGCTAATTATATTGCTCAACATTCTGTGGTAAACCTTTTTTTCTTCTTTATTTTCTTTTTCTTTTATTTATTTATTTTAATTTTTTTTAATAAAACACTTTCCTAAATGGAGTAATACTTTGAGATGCAAATCCTCATTTATAAGAAGTTTCCCAAAGGGAATTAGAGAGAAAAATCCCTTATACATAAAAGAGACAAAGCAAGTGAGGATGTGAGGATGTGTTTCCATAGAATTTTTAAAAGAGACACTCATTCTGAGGTTGAATTGCAGATATTTTAAGGGTACAACATTTTATGTCAAATGTAATCCTTTTCTACATTTTTGATAATGTATTTCTGTTTTCTCCCTTTTTGCTTATTTCTCACAAATGCCCATATTTCTCATTATGTTGTCTTTCACAAGTGCACTATTTAAGCAAGAGATTTTCTCTAAATGCACCTCATCTCCTGCTGGTTCTCAGCCCCTGGTCTTGCTCTGTGAATACCTGTCTCTCACATAGGAGCTTACACAGAATGGGTGCTTGTGGCCTGTATCCTCGTGGGTCTTTTTTGCAATCTCTGCAGCCCAGGAGGAGGATGGGGAGAACTTCAGCCCTCCTGTACTGCATCTTCAGAAGTGGGGTCTGGCTGGACATTTGCATTCATGAGGGTCCCCATGGATCAGAGCAATGATCCCTGATGGCTGATGTTTGCTGGAGCTCACTCCACTCCAGACCACACGCCAAGCAGGGTAGGTGTCTCACTGTATTTAACCCTCACAGCACTCGAAACAGAGGTATTCTCACTGACTTTTACAGATCAGACTTTAGACACGAAGGAACATGTGAGGGGGTCTCATGGCTATCAGCTATTAGAAGGGATAGAACTTGAATGTGGACTTGGGTTTGCCAGCCCTGAAACTCTGCCCTCTGGCACATGGTACTGGGTGCACTGGGAGACATCATGAGGCTCAGAGACACTGCCCTTCCTAGAGCGAGGTCTGGACCTCTTTTCTTAGCACACTGCGGGGTGGGCACAGGCTCTGTTTTCAATTAAGTTCTGTGTGAGTCAGGGTCCTGGTGGGAAAGAGAGGACACACTCAGATTAGGATTGTTCGTGGAGCCTTTCCTCAAAAGGCTATTTGTAAGGGTAAAGGGAAGGGAAAGGAAAGAACAAGAGAAAATGCACAGAGCTGTTACTCCCCGAGCCTGAAGGGGACGGGGTAGAATTGGCTACTGGAAGCTGGGAGGAGAGTGTGGGAATAGCCACCTTTCGAGCAGCTGGGACCTTCGGGAGAGAGTCACAGCCCGAGAAGACTCACAGGAGGTGACCAAGGTATTGCATACTTGGACTGGATACTTGGATTGCATACTGGATCCGCACTGAATAAACCCCTGCAGGAGTGAGCGAAACTGCCACCTAGGTCTGCTTCCCAGGGCACAACCATGGAGAGCCCTAAGGGCAAGTAGCAGAAATCCAGCACAAGTGCAATGCTTCTTGCAAAGCACCCAGCCTGTGCTGGCTCCTGGCTGAGTGTGCAAAAGTGAGGAGACCGTGCTACTGCCCTTGAAGATCTTAGAGTCTTGGAGGAGTCGGGTAGATGGAGGAGGTGTTCACTCGGCTAAGGACTAAACCAGTAGGTGCAAGCTGTGGATGATGCTCCTGCAGAAGCTTTGGGTGTGCTGTGTACGCCTTGATGGGCCACACCTGAGTTGACCTGCCTTGCCTCCTGCTGCTGTTGACAACGTGAAGGCAAACTCCTGGGGTCTTTCTTTTTTGAGATAAAATATAAAGTATAATTCTCTTGTATTAAATGCTTATTAATTAAAGTCTAATTTAAAAGCTAGGAAGAAAAAAGAGAAGTCATTCATCATCCTATCCTCCCAAGACAACAGCTGGGAACGGCCTGGTGGAGATTTCCAGCTGCCTTCCTCTGAGCCTTCTCCCTGCGCTTATGGTGAGAGTGGGATGCAATATTGAATCTTGAGTTTTGGATTGAGCATCATCATAGCATTTTGCCACGGTATAACAAATCCTTGGGAAACAGAGTTCTTGAGGGTTGCATAACATTCTGCTGTATGAATGCTGCCACACATCATCCTATTCTGCAGTTTAGATGCTTAGGTTATTTTCCATTGTATTAACATTACAGAATGCTGTAATTAATCGCTTTGTGTATAAAGACTTTTTCCGTGTTTCAGATTATTCCTCCAGAATGATGACCCCCAGATAAAGTTACTGTGCAGTGAAGAACCGAGCACAGGACCAGCCACAGAAGAGACACAACTTTGACCATAACTGCTGTTGTTGTTCAGGGTGAATATTCTCCCCCAATTTATAGCCGGCCCAAAGACCTCCCTCTAGAACACCATAAGAATATAATGCAAGCTATTAACTGGTAAATGCTATTTAAATCTCATTTTAAAATGCAGAAGAAAGAGCTGAAATCATTTTAATAATATATTTTATGTAACCAATTCTACCCAAAATATTATTTCAACATGTTATCAATATAAAAATTATTAGTGAGACAGTTTACATTCTTTTCCCATGTAAACCTTTGAAATCTGATGTGTAGATTTTTCACTGGTAACACAACTCAATTCAGACCAGCCTCATTCCCAGTGCTCCGTGGCCACACAAGTGGCTGATCATGATTGTGGGACAGTGTGGGTCTAGAGCAAGGGATCCACCAGAGATACTTGCCACTGTTGGCATCATCACCCAGCCCTCAAGTCCAGCCACCTCTTAATGCCTCCCTGCCTTGTTTATTGGCCTTCTGGACTGATGGTGAGTCAGGTGTAACATGATTTCCACACTTGGGCATTCTTACCTGTTGTCCTCACTCCTGCCTTGACATTAGCTAATGACAGCATCCCCTCCATCCCAGGGCATCTGGCCCTTGTTCATTCAGAGATATTTATTGTGCACTTCCTGCATGGTAAGCCCTGGGCCTGACCCTAGGGATACAGTGGACAAACACAACTTTCTCATAAAATGTAGCCACAGAACTTGTCCATATTCTTAGGGTCTGGCGGGGGGATAGACTCTAATCAAATTATCACACAAGTATGTAGTTTCAAGCTGTGGTTAAGTGCTATGAAGGAAACATACATTTAAAAATGCTAACCCTTGGCCGGACATGGTGGCTCACACCTATAGTTCCAGCACTTTGGGAGGCCAAGGCGGGTGGATCACCTGAATTCAGGAATTCGAGGTCAGCCTGGCCAACACAGCAAAACCCTGTCTCTACTAAAAATACAAAAATTAGTCAGCGGTGGTGGTGGGCACCTGTAGTCCCAGCTACTTGGGAGGCTGAGACGGGAGAATTGCTTGAAGCCAGGAGGCATGGGCTGTAGAGAGCGCAGTTCTCCCCACTGCACTCCAGCCTGGGCAACAGAGACTCTGTCTCAAAAAAAAAAAAAAAAGTAATGCAGCAGAGGGCAGCTCATTCATTCATTCTTTTTTCTTTTTTTGAGACGGCGTTTCGCTGTTGTTACCCAGACTGGAGTGCAATGGCATGATCTCACCGCAACCTCCGCCTTCTGGGTTCAAGCAATTCTCCTGCCTCACCCTCCCGAGTAGCTGGGATTACAGGCATGCACCACCATGCCCAGCTAGTTTTTGTATTTTTAGTAGACACGGGGTTTCACCTCGTTGACCAGGATGGTCTCGATCTCTTGACCTCGTGATCCACCCACCTCGGCCTCCCAGAGGGCTGGGATTATAGGCGTGAGCCACCGCGCCCAGCCTCATTCATTCTTATGTTCATGCATCAACTCTTACTGAGCGCTCTGTGGGATGTCAGGCACCACCCTGCACTATCAGAAAGGTAAGGCCAGCCTTCTCTGGTTTGCAACTGGACACACATTCCCAGGGAAGATAACCACTTAAAGAAGAGAAGAGAGGGGTGAAAATAAAAAAAAAAACAATGCTAGTAGAACTCCTTTTCTGGTTCCAAAAATGGCATTGTTCATGGTAGCTGACGCTTTGAGTTCATGTCCAGTTGGGAAAAACAAGCCCCACATGGACACAATGTGAGCTCCTCAAACCTGGCCAAATCAATGAAGGAGAGGCAGTAGCAGAGCTGTGGCATGGAGAGAGGCCGGTTCTAGGGACAAACTGAACCATTTATCTCCTATCCCCTGAAACAGGACTGAGACCCTCCCTTCAGCCTTCAGTCCCTGGGGATGGGCTAATTCCAGCAGCATCTGCTGTAACTTAGACATCAGCATCTTCTCCATCAGCTCTCAGATATAACTCTGATGTATAAAGCTAGACGAAAATGAGATAAAAATTGGCAGAGGTTGAAGAGGGTCAAAGTAGTCCAAACATAAGGTAGACTATTGCTCCATTTATGTCATTCTGTGCACTTTGGAAAAATAAAATTACAAGTCCCCCTGAGATTTTTTCACTGGGAATGAGGTATTAGTCATTGGTTTTCCATAGACCCCCAAGGTTCCCAGCTGGGAGGAGCGCGGTAGCTGTTTCTGGTGCAGACCCCGCATGACCTTAGACAGTGGCGATGTGAATGTGTCTTGTGCCTGCAGACAGCCATGGTGAAGATGATGCTGCCTTACATGGTTCGCATCACACCATCGCAGTGTTTGCTTGGCTTCATCTTCTTATTCAATCTTTGAAAACCCATGCATGTAGCATTTATTGTCACTATCTGATAACTTGAGGAAACCGAGGCTTCAAGAAACCACGTTTTCAGTAAATGTCAGCGTGCCTGCTAGGGGCTGGGACACAGAAGTTAGTAAGACAAGCACCCTCTCCTAGAGCCTCACCAGTGTGAGAGAAAATAATCAAGTAAAATAACTAAATATAAAGAATAAATAAGGGTAGAATTAATTGTGAATGAAAGAAGTAGGATAAGGGAATAGAAAAATGGGAGAGTGTGAAGAGCCAAGGGAGGACTTTAACAAGGAAATCTTTTTTTTCTTTTTCTTTTTTTTTGAGACAGAGTCTCACTCTGTCACCCAAGCTAGAGAGCAGCAACACAATCACAGCTCACTACTGTCTCAAACTCCTGGGCTCAAGCAATTTTCCCACCTCAGCCTCCTGAGTAGCAGGGACCACAATTGCGCATCACCACATCCAGCTTATTTTTAAAATCTTTTTGCAAAGACAAGGTCTCACTTTGTTACCCAGGCTGGTCTCGATCCTCCTGCCTCGGTATGAGCCATGGTGCCCAGCCTAAGATATACCTTTTTAAAATATGGAGAATTATCTTAGGGGGACCAGGGAAAGATCTGAGGGATCAGTTAGTAGGCGATACCCCTTGTCTGGGCAAGACATTGCACTAGCTTGGGTAGGGTGGTGGGGTGAAGAGCTTGGATCTATTTTGAAGACAGGACGTCTATGAGGGTTCTCAATTTCTATTCCTCCAGTGCTCTTCCAGAGCACACCACCACCTGCTGCTGCCTCCTGCCTCCAGTGCACCAGAGTCTGCAGCAAGCTGCTTCTCTGGAGGGGGATAAAGGCAGGGGTCTACCTGGGGAGATGAAACAGCACCAACAGAAATCAGGGGTTCCAGAGAGGAGGACACCTGGCCCTGTGCTGCTGCGTGTGTGTGTCAGTTGTGATGCGCATAATCATCTTTGGTCTTATTTTTTCCAAGTAACTGGAAAAGTTCATTTCTAGTTTACTAATGTCTGTTCCTTCCTTAAGCTCCTCTAGTCTGGCTTTTGTCTCTGCCACTCCTACTGAAACCATTCTGCTCAAGGCTGTGGTCAATGTCTCCATTGCCCAGCCCTGGACTGTCAGGGCTGCTCCAGGACAGATGCACCAGATGCATGCATTTCCTGATACAGCGGAATCTCAGTGGGGGCTTGGCGTCCACCTGCCTGGTGCTCTGCGATGAATTTCTGCACAGATACAACCTCTGTGGGCAGAGGCCAGGATGAGGCTTATGCATCTGTAAAGACCAGCCTTCCATCTGTTTTCTGATGCAACCAAAATGCTTCAGGACTTGGCTTATCTGAGAGGCTTGATGGCTACATATGTGAGGGGCTTCCAGGTAGAGCTCAGCCCTGAGACCTCTGGTCTCCTGATGCACATCTGTATGAGGACGGAGAAGCACCAGTCAACCTCTGCACAACTCTCACCAAATTCTCCTGGAACATCCTCTGAAGGTCGCTGTTAGTGCTGGGTTTTGGCAGGAGAAAGAGAACTCAGGGAACAGAAGAGCTGATCTGCCAAAGTGATACTCTTCTTGGAGACACAGGAACTCTATCTCTCATTCTCAGTTGCAATTTGATGTGGCAACTCAAATATGTTTTTCCAGATGGAACATGAGCAGATGTGATGTGTTCACCCTCCAGGTCTAACCCATGCAAAGCCTCCTGGGAACACATCTCATGTCATTTCCTCTTCCATCAGCTGAATGTGGATGACAATAAGGAACTAGGGTGAGGTGGAGCCATAAAACACAGGGAGCCTGGGTCCCTGAATGACCACATGGACATACACATGCCAAAGACTGCCTTGTAAGCAGGAAATAAACATCTACTGTATTGAACCTTTGCATGTAGGGACTATTTGTTATAGCAGCATAGCTTACCCTGACTAATACAATCTCTGCACTCAGAGAGTTTATAGTCGTTTTAAGGAGACAAGACTCAGTCACACAATTCTGCAACAATAGTAGGTGGCTCAGAAGAAGGGGTTGTAGTGTTTAGACTTCCAATTGTGAAGTCAGAGGCTGCAGGCCCCTGGATATGTGACTTTCCTATCTAATCCCTTTTCTGGAAAAAATGGAGAACAGTCAGATTGGGGGAGACCCCATCAAAGGTTCACAAGTAGGACTTGAAGCAAGTCAAGATGAGACCAATAATGTCAATTCTTAGAAAGGACAAAAGAAAATCGCCTCTAAAACCCTAAGAGCTTTGGCTGCCAAAGGAATGAGATGGAGGCCAGTTTCCTAACTTCTGTCCTGTGACTCCACACACCTCAGACGTTCCCTGGGGAGGAGCCCTGAGCCTGGGTGTGTGGGGATTTGATTATTCTAAGTGAAGGAACTCAGTAATGAAAAACCAAACATTGAATATTCTAACATGTAAGTGGGAGCTAAGCTATGAGGATGCAAAGGCATAAGAATGATACAATGGACTTTGGGGACTTGGGAAGGGTAGGAGGTGGGCTAAGGATTAAAGACTGCACATTGGGTACAGTGTATACTGCTTGGGTGATGGGTGCACCAAAATCTCAGAAATCACCACTGAAGAAATTATCCAGGTAACCAAACACCATCTGTTCCCCCAGAACCTATAGAAATAAAAATAAATAGGCTGGGCATGGTGGCTCACACCTGTCATCCCAGCCCTTGGGAGGCTGAAGCAGGTGAATCACGAAGTTAGGACATCGAGATCATTCTAGCAAACATGGTGAAACCCTGTCTCTACTGAAAATACAAA